TCATCCCAAATTTTCGTTATGACTAAAAATGTTGTTCGTCACAGGGGCTAAAAAATCTTTTCTGACGAATATGAATTTAAGTTTTAATCATATTAGCTGGAAACGTTTTTTTCGGCCTAATGACAAAATGGACTATTCTGTTATTGCTGCTACGTTCACCACGTGCCGAAATATGCCTCTTCGTTTATTTGTATAAAGAAAAGCCCGAAATATTATAAAAACGAATTCAATGTCGCTCTCCTGGAAATTACTACTCAATCATCTGCGGAATTTTGTTCGAATACAATAAAACCGTTTGAAACGCTTGTGACGATGGTATCTCAGAGGTTACGTGATCCAGGTGGCGCTGACGACGTTGTTACGAGTAATTCGAATAATTGATCCTGAAACTTGTCGCACCTCGGGGAATCCCAGGCAGACGCAGAAGGGGTATCCTCGGAATTTTGTGGACCATATCAGCTAAAGCCCAGTGTTTTCGTCTCACCAATGCACCGGTATTTCTCGGTCCTCCCCCGGGGAGTGAGAAACACCACGGGCCCTGTCGTTCTCAGCGCTAATGACTTTGTTGGCTCACGCTTAACAAGACTACCTTCTGAACTCGGTATATGTAATGAACATTTTGCTACTTGGCACTTTCCAACTTGTATACTAGAATCTGATGATTATGCAGAGCATTATCTTTTACGTTAAGGAGTGTACAGCGTGTGCCAAGGCGTTTTTGTCACGATTAAACGAGAGCGATGCTCATGTCTATCGAATTCTCTGCCAAAATAGTGGTATAAACATTTCACTTTTTTAGTCCCCGAGAGAATTCCTATCTGATCCATGAAATTAATGGTCATTGTAATTTTACTCGAGTGAGTGCATTCGACAGATTTATCTCGTGTCTGTGATATTCAACGTTTGATTAATCTGCTCTATTAATTTTTAATGCCAATTATTAATTGAATAAATCTCGAAATGTCAATTAGAATCGTTAAAATAATAATTATCAGCTGGGGGGCTTTGAGAATATCGTGATAATAAAATTACACACCGGAGTGAAACGATAAAACGGAAGACAAATGAAACGACGATGAATATACTCATGCTCAACTGAGGAAAACGTTAATTATGAAAATATCTCGAGTGAATCGGAGGTGGTTGGGCACGGGTATGGAATTAATTACCAACTTCTCGCCCCTCGTAAACTCGGGGTATAATCGACGGCCAAAGCGACAAAGAGTGATCGCACAGAGGCATGTCGTTGTAATCAGTTTATACATACACATTTATGATTTTTCATACTTTTTTCTTTTTCATTGTTGTGATAGGGAGAGTGGTCAAACGCGATGGAGTCTTGGTTTGCGTGTACACGCGACATGTCTTAACGTCATAATCTTCACCGACTTGTCCCCCCGGTGGTATCAGGACACGTATGAGGGGTTTTTCTGTCGTCACAGCGTTAGGCGAAAAATTGAGGGGAGAGGAAGTCGCATGTGATAATTACGCCGAAAAAAATGAATTTATCGTATGTGCAGGAGATAGAATGTGACACGAAAATGTTTTGTGGCAAAATATATTGCAAAACTCGAGGAAAAAAAAATTTAAGGGATGAAATTGTACATAATTTATTATATTTTTTGTCTTTTAATTTTTGTTGGAATTTACAGAAGAAAATTTTTATCAACTCTCTATTTATTCATTTTTAAATTAGTTAAAATTTGAAATAAATCGAATGATCAGCTTCTTTATTATCGGGTCAGAGTCATTTTTTTTACCTCTCGGGTAATTTATTGCACAATTTTTTTTGAAAACATGGAAAATATAATTTGGACTTCAATTGCATCGAAAAAAATTAATCTATTCTACGTATAGGAGGTAATCTATGACATGACAATGTTTTAGGGGAGGGTGGGGCAAAACGACCCCCTTTCAATTGTCAATAACTTGTGAATGACATTGTGAAAATTCCCAGTTTCAACTTCATTTTGAAGATAATTTTTCATTCTTCAAAACGAGCTCTAACTCATCTCAGTCGGATCATTGAATCGAAAAATATTGACGATTGAAGGGGGGCCGTTTTGCCCCATCCTCCCCTATATCAAAATATATCGGAATTGTCAAAGTGGCAAAATTTATTCAGAATTTTTTCTATTTCCTTTCTGCGATTTTTCAATAGTTATAGTAAATCTTTTATCATTCAGTTTTCATTAATCTTTCTTTTATCCCATTGTACTAATTTTATTGATTAATTTATTAATTTGTAGACATTTGTAATTAAATTATTTTTTGTTTTTTTTGTTCTTGAATTTGCTCTCCTGTCGATGAAAAAGTCGGGATGAGTTACTATCGAACTATCAACTTCTTTATTATCAGATCAGAGTCATTTGATTTTTTTTACCTCTCGGGTAATTCATTGGACAATTTTTCTTAAAAACATGGAAAAAAATCAAATTGAACTTTTTCATCCTGAAGGGTTTCTACCCACGAGACGATCCTTCAAGCTGCCACTGTGCGCCTGGCACGGACGTGCTCGTTCTGGATTATGGATTATCAATAATGAGAGTCGACGATCGATATCCATCGGTACGTTGGTTTAGAGTCACTCCGAATGTTTGTCTCATGAAATGGAGAGACCGGGGGTTAGGTTTGAATGAATCGCCGTCTAATTACAAGGATTGATGCTCGTTTGAACGAGTCCCGGTCTCTCTCGTTCTACTGTTACCTCTTGAGAGACCGCTGGTGCAATAAAACGGACGAAATCTTCATGCTGCCTTGAGTGAGAAGCTGAAGCTCTGTGGAAAGAACGAGGTCATAAACTGTGAGAATAAAAAATCTCTCGAGAAGTCTCGTCTCTTTTAATCCAACATCACTATTGGAACAAAATTGAAATTTCATGGACAGTTATCTAGTAATCTTGAGGAGAATGACATTCAATTGGATTTAGGAGGAAAAAAAGTTATGAAATTTCAGATAAATTATGACATTCAATGAAATTTCGTACTTTTAGATAGTAGGGTGATAATAATTCCTCAACTTGCCTGAATTTTCAATGAAAAAATTAATATTCAGTATCAAATTACACAGAATTTCGGGTTAATTAAAAATTTACAAAGTTATTTACCGTAATTTTCGCGATTTCTAGCAATTTTCAGCGAATAATTGAAGTAAAATTCACAGGCTCCGAGAATATTCTACATAAAATTTGGGATTTCCAGTGAAACTATAATGTGATAAGAATTTTCAACAAGTGTACTGAAAATTTCATTAAAAAAAAATCATAAATTCCGGAAATAAGAAACCCCTCAATTCTCATTTCTTCAATCCAACATTCAGAACTGAATCTTTCAGAGCCGTGTTACAACCCCGAGATAGCAAAAAAATTTAATTTTAAAATTTCTCACACCACTCAGACAATATTCATCATCAAACAAAAACCTAATTCAATTTATTAACTCATCTGCATTATTCATGACAATAAAATATGTGAATAGAATTGAAAATGCCATTGAGAGGAATAAATATTGGGGACGTAAAAATATGCGCGATCCTATCGCGATGGAAAATCTTGTTTCGATTTTCTCCATGTCAGGGGCATTGTCCATTTGTCCCCCCAGGATTGTCTCGGGAGAGGGAAGAATATTGGGAAATTGCGGAAAAAAAGTACAAGCAACCAAAAGCGAAGGAGTGCGAGAGGGGGATAGAAAAAAAAGCGGAGAGATAAGTCCATCGCGAACCGTGGGGTCAATCATAATTCTCGATCTTTTATTCAATTCCCCGGCGCCGGCATTAGCATACATATACACATTGTGTGAGAGAGAGAGGTAAACAATCGTCGTTCAAAGATTCCCCAAAGATGATAACACATTTTCCCGCCACTGGGTATTCCAGGCTGGCTGTGGAGAATGAAACAGTGCTCGTAAAATTATGAAATTTTCATGTTTATTCAATATTGTAGGTTATACATATCGAAATGGAGGGGTTAGGGGTCTTATCGTGTGGCAGGGTCAGGGACATAGATTCCAACCGGGGGATTGGAGACTAATTTTATGAATCTACATGATTAGAAAAAAAAATGGAATTCTGTGGAGAACTGAACAGCAATTTTGGGAAGAGGGACATTGGATTCGATTCAGGGGGACAAGCCTTGTGATATTTCCAGTTCCAGATGAAATTCAAGTTTAGTGAACTAAGAGTGAGTTATCTAATTGGTCAGTTAATGTGGAATTTAAGGATAGCCAAGGATTTTTTACAGTTTGGCACAGACCAGACTAGAGATTCAACCATTTTCAATCAGCAAATTTGTCAATTACATTGCGTGAATAATCACCGTCATTAAAATTAAATTTTACACAGAATTATTATTTTTTCCAACATTCGTTGTTTATGAATAAATAATTAAAATTGTTTACATTTTCAGAAACCTTATTTTTTGGCATAAAATCAATTTCTGGTAAAATTTTGAATATGATTGAATTTGTTACGATTCTAAACAAATGATTTTTACGGTGTAAAATCAATTGTTTATAAATTATTTATAGAATTTTTTTAGTATTTCTCAAGTCCTTGAAAAGTAAACTTTCTATTTCTCTTCAGATTTTTAAAATGTGTTCTACTCTTAAGAGTATATTCACCTAATTTTCCCAAATTTTAATTACTTTCACTCAAGAATTGACCTGGAATTATCAGGATGTGTTTATTTCCAATTTCTAATTCATTAATTAATCATTCATTTCGCATAGTCAAAACATTTCGGTTGAAATAAACATAATTCTATTCAATCAGCAAAAATGGTGCAGAAAAGAACAGAAACATTTTAAATAACGAATTTTAGTCGATGGTCATTCCTCTGGATGTACAATCCTCATTATGATCAATTTTCAGACCGAACTCACGAAAACGATAACGAATTATTAGGATAAAAAAAAAGATAACGAATTATTCAAGAAAAATCTTGCGAAAAAAAAAGAATTAATGCCTCATGTTTTCACCACTTTTCTGATTTCTTTTTTTCCCAGGTTGTGACGGTGAGTCTGACGAAGGCGGAAGCAAGAGAAGAAGAAGCCGTACGAATTTCAATAGTTGGCAGTTGGAGGAGCTAGAACGTGCATTCCTCTCGAGCCACTATCCAGACGTTTTTATGCGGGAAGCGTTGGCTGGGAGGCTTGACCTGAAGGAGAGCCGTGTTGCGGTGAGTTTCACCCTTCATCACCCATCCAACAATCCACAGAAGACCCGGCAAAAAAACCTAATTCTAATCTCGCATAATTTCAAATAAAAATTCCCCCCTCCATTCCCTTGAATATCCTATTTTGTTTGTTTTGACGCGCGTCAGTTGCGTGTCTATTAGATGGGTCCTCGAGATAGTCCTCGAAAAAACGAGAGGTTCTCGGCTTTCGAGAGGCTCTCAGTGTCAATTTGAGATTTCCACACTGGTAGCAGACAATTGAAATTTCACGGATAGTTTGAGTAGTACTTTTCAGGAGAGTGACATTGAATTCGATTTAGGGAAGAATAAAACATGAAATTTTAAATTGCATTGAAAATTCAAGAATATATCCAGAGGAATTTTCTTAATTTCTGCTCATTATCATGGAATAATTGAATTAAAATTTACAATTTTCATTGATTTGTAAACAAAATTTTGGATTTTCCATTACTGAATTTCCTGAAATTCCAGTGGAACTGTATCGTGACAAAAATTCTATTTATTTATTCTTTCATTTCTATTTTTTCTAGTGCCCGAAGTACACTAGAAATTTCAGACAATAATTTTTTCAAATTCAGTTTTTCCAAATTGTTAAATTCAGAATTATTCAAATCTCAATTGGAATATTTCAATAACCTTTGGTTAAGATCACTCAAGTTCACGATCAACTTCAAAAACAAATTCTTATTTATCGAGTGAATTGAGAATGTTAAAAAATTACAAAAAAAGCCACGAGGAAATTATTGTAATCTCGTTGAAAAAGCCCCACCATTTTGTTTGTTTTGACGTGCGTCAGTTGCGTGTCTATTAGATGGGTGCTCGAGATAGTCCTCGAAAAATCGAGAGGTTCTCGGTTTTCAAGAGGCTCTCAGTGTCATGATACAGACTCCGAACATTGTACGAGGGTTGGCGACGGCTCCTGACCGCTCGACCCTTGACTCTTTATCTCGAGGGGGTAGTTGGTCCATCTGTTCCTTCTGCGGTCATGTGCCCAGTAGCGCCAAATGGGTGGGGTGTCCATCCGGAAAAAGGGCCATCCTGATACGATTTTAAACCGATAAATTCAAAGTTGCTCCCCAATGACATCACCAACGACTGAGTCCACCGGCTATTTGCCCCCTTAATCTCCACCCATTGTATTATAAACACGATAAAAATTATCGTTCACTCAATGCTGATGGATGTTGACGTGAAAATTACCCTCATAGAGTCTGAAAATCACCGAACGACACCCACACCTTCAACACCCACTAACAATTCCCGAAGAATTCGCGGAGAAATCGATCTCAGCTTTGCTATCATAATCCTGTCGTGGCCCGCAGCGAACGTGCCTATTTCGCCGTCAACCATTTCATTACCTCACAACACCACTCACTCGCTCATCCCACGAAACATTCGCGAGTGTAAAGACGCGATGAAGTCCGGAGGAAATACGAGAAAATGGATAAAAAATGTTGGCCTTCAATTTCATACCCGCGATTTCTAAAGTTTTGATCAGATTTTCCCGAAAACTGGAATTGAGATATTTAATTTTCAAATTTCGTATTTTCTACTCAATAGAGAGTGTGAAGAAACTCAATTCGATTCATTCAAAAGTTTCAATTGAGCACTCCTTTATTTCCTCAGAAATCCCCAATTTTCTTCGACCTTTTCGCTTAAACGCCTTGCTGATCCCCATAATTAGTTAACTGCACCCAACGTGTCTATTTCCCCATCAACAATTTCATTACCTTACAACTGCACTCACTTCCCATCTCGCGAAACATCCTCGTGAGTAAAGCGATGCACACGGAGAAAAATTTTCTAGAAAAATTCATATGCACTATTAGAAAATTTCAACAATCACTCATTCACGCGAAATTTTCATATATTTCGTTATTGAAATCCCAGTTGAACTCCGTATGGAATTGCAATTTTCAGATCCGCATTACAATGAAAATTATTAAATATTTTGAAAATTCAAGGAACATTTTTCCTGGATGTTCAAAGAGTTTTAGAATGTTAGATGTCATTAAAATGTCAATGATAATCTAATGAAATAATAATGCTATGAAAAATTTTCAAGCTAAATTGAATTCAAATTCACAATATTAAGTATTCAAATGTAGCTATTGCTTAATTTCCAAAAAATTGTTAACATTATACCCATCAAACATACAAATGATCTCGCAAAACCAGAAAAATTATTGTGTAGCACCCGGAAAATTATGGTTTCCCTAATAATTTTTCCAGTGTTGCACGAGAATTTTTCCAAGTGTGTAATTTGCGCAACGTTTACGTGCACGGAGAGAAAAATTCAATAAAAATTACGTATCTTTTCCGTAATACCGGAGCGCAATGTGGTTGTAGGAAATTTTACGGAACTGTCACGTAATTTCTACCCGAATCTCCTGTGAAAAATTACGATACCTTCACTTAAATGTTCTGAGACGATTCCGTAACCGGTGAGCGAACCGTGAGTTCCGTAATTTTTACTGAACATATCTCTCCGCGTGCTGAGCAGATGAATTTTTCTAAAAAAAAATTTTCTCCGTGTGAACTACAAAGGAAACACGAGTAAATAGATAAATATGGGGTTGGCCTTCAATTTCACGGACTGCCGGATGAGTCTCGCGTATGACTGGTATATTTATATTTATGCGGTTAGATACGCTCCATAGAATGTAAGGGAGATTGAACGCTTATGCATATGCCGACCCTAGTCTCGGCCCTGAGATAATGGTCTGCAGTAAGGACGAAAAAAGGGAGTCCCTCATCTCAATGAGGGGGAGACCCGGCAACCCGACCGTACGAGACTGGTGACAGCCTCATCCTCTGACGCGTTTCTTTCTTCGCTGTATCTCCATCGGTAAATGACAAAGATTAGATAAAACCCACCACATGTTTAGATTGGAATCTCAGATATGCGTTAATGCGTGACATAATGAAGTCGTCTGGTCATGTCGAGTTGACTCGATGTCAGTTGGAGTTGAGGGATAAAAATGAGGGATGAGGGAATCAAAAGAGAGTATGTACATGAGCATCGATCCGAGATATCGCGTGAGAGAACAGCGCGGCTTGCACCTACCGTGGTTAGGCTCAGTAACTAATGTCTTCATTTCTAGAGTTTTAAATTCTACTCCTGACACTATGAACATTCATCAGTTGATCTTGAATTTAATTAAAATAATAACGGAACGATCTGCAAATCACAAAAAAATTATGAATGGAGGTGATGAATGGGGAACTTAATTAAAGTAGATTTTGGGATTTGATTCAAGTCGAATTGATATTTAACTTTTATGAAATTTTTTAATTGTATCACTGGAATGCAGATTTTTGCTCTGATTGTGGATGGATATTGTTAACAATAAATAAAACAAAACGGTAAACTGTGGTTGAATAAATTTCAATTGTTTTCACATTTTCAGTAAAAAAAATCGGATTTTAATTGTTATTTATAAAAACGAAAACAGCAATTAAATTATTTAAAAAAATTACGATTCTGAATTCCATCGAGATTTCGGGTAATTGTTAATTGAAAAATCACCTCCTGAGGGTAGAACTACTTTAAGACCTTAATACACTAAGAAAAAAATTCAATTCCAGCAAGAAAATATTTTTCAGACAAGAATTTATAGGGAGATTTTGTACGGAAATTTCAAGCCTTCGTTTGTCTGACATAAATTTGATCGGCAGAATATTTTTTCTCAGTCTCCAAAATTTAAAAAGCTCAATTCCATGCATTTAAAAATTTTATTCGACCCATCGTAGCCTCCAATTCAGTTTTCTCAAATTCTCAAATTGAAAGTCATGTAAATTCCAACTTGAGGATTCCAATGTTCAGTCAAGATCAAAGTTCAAAAATAAACTCTCATTCACTCTCAAATCCTCCTGATCTCTCCCTCATCCCCTCGAAAATCCCCAATTTCCTGCAGCCCTTTCGCTCAAGCACCTCGCTGATCCCCACATATTGTTAACAGGTGTGGTTTCAAAATCGTCGAGCAAAGTGGCGCAAGAAGGAGCACACGAAGAAGGGTCCAGGTAGGCCAGCGCACAACGCTCACCCCCAGAGCTGCAGTGGCGAGCCAATTCCCCCTGAAGAGCTGAGAAGAAAAGAGCGAGAGAGGCGGCAGAAGAAGCTGCTGAAAGCCCTCGAGAGACAGCAGCGAAAGCTGGCGGCCAAGGTAAACTACTCCCCCCGAAAGCTCTCACCCCTCCGCGGCCGCGAGTCGCAAAAACCCTCAAAACTCGTTTAAACTTGCGCCAACATGAGATTAAAAAACTTTAATTTACCGCATTTTCTGTCGTAATAGGGCATCTCTGTGGACCTCTCAACGCTGAAAGCCGACTGGGAAGCGAGGAGTGCAGCGGCGTCGAGCGGTGGTTTAAACGGTCATCTGAGTGGATCATTCGGTCAATTGGGGGGTTTGAACGAAGGTAGCAGTGTCTCTGGCTCCGGTAATGACGTCAATGAGGAGATTGATGTGGTTGGGGGCTTGGACTCGTGTTCTGAGAGTGGTAGTGAGCGAATGGACTCGGCAGCGGACGGTTCGATCGATGGTGAGTGCTACTCGAGGCTTACGATTGATCAGAGTGACCACGGAAGGACGTCACACTCATCAGTGGAGCATCAGAGTCCAAAGAGTGGATTGAGCATCAATTTGGATCTCAATCATCAGCAGGGAATTCGTCGCTGGGGCTTGAGCCTCCTCGAGCGACGGAGGGAACTCGTCAGTCTGAGCAACAGCGTTGCGAGGAGATCGACGGAGAGTCCGCGAAGTCTAGTGAGAAGTCCCTTGGATAGAAATGACGACGAGGTGCAGAGTGGCAGCATTGATCTGTCGGTGAAAGGAAGAGAGGACAGGAGGAGGCTCAATCCTTTCTCGATCGACAGTCTTCTTGGGAATAATCGAGCCATTACACCCAGGGACGATCAGAATCGCTCATCAACACCCAGTAATCTCACCAATGGCAGGCAATCTAGTTCACCAACATCACCAATATCCGTACCAACGTCACCATCCACCACGTAGTCCTGTTTTAGTAACGATAATAGGAGGTTTATGCAACGATTTATCCATGGAGACTGATTTAATATCACTATTCGACATATCTGCTCTGAGTGATTGTCGATGCCCCAGCCCCCCCCTCTCAGGCAACAAATGTTCAGTGTGCAATAAGGAAGTGAGTGTGATGATTACGAGAGAGAATCGATAAATCGACATTGACTCTGAGAGTTTAACAATGATCGAGTGTATTTATAATGTAAATAGTCGAAGGATTTTTAATTTAAAATGAAAACGTGTAAACAGATGTTATCGCGGGAGTTAGGTGTTAGAAGTTTCATGGAAATGATTAAAGATGGGGGGGAATTAATTTAATGAGGTAGAGGATGATGTTAGCCTGATTGCCGTGTACATAGATTCGACGTAGGGCATGAAGTGAATCAGGATAATGAAAATTGGATGATACCATTGTTTAATGAACACTAAAAGAAATAATTTCCTGTAAACCTTTTAGAGAGTGAAAATGAGCGATGAAAATTGTGCAAATTGTGGTAATTGATAAGTATTTGTTTTTTCTGGAGGAAAAATTGATGAAAAAAGGAGAGATTTAAGAGATGCCATAAATGCCCATGACGTGCAAAAACACAAAACATTACCAATAATATCCAATTATAAATATATTAATTTATTCTCAAGAAAAATTCACAAAAGTCTAATTATTGAATGATACATTATTCTATTATCCCAGGTGGTTATTTCTAATTCATTATTCATTATCGTCATTCACCCGCACTCATCAGCGGGAAAAAAGGGAAATCACGATCGTGATTTGACCTTCCGAAGTGACGACGCAGTACAGCCAAGGTACAATGCATGGACAATGAGTCGGTGCTCGTAATTTACTTTATGAAGTCACGGGAGGGGGTACACTGGAAGGCGATTGCACTGGCCCATGTGGTGTATGTGAAACGCCTCGTTCAACGACAAAGGCCCATTGTGCCTTGGGCGAAGCCGCAATAATATTATTAGCCATATACCATACGCTTACTCTCGCCCTCAAGCGTCTCCATCTCGACGCGAGAAAGGGCTCTGAAGACCAAGTGGTGTATCCTACGGTTCTACCAGTGAGGACTCAATTCACCTGGCCTCTACCTTCGGCTTTCCCTTTCACGTATTCACTGATATGCAGGTTATTGGATTTTCCGGATACCCATCATCCTAATGGTGATTTTCCTTTCTCAATTCGTTTTTCAATTCAATTCGCACTTACTTGTGTGAAGCTTTCCTTTCTTCATTCAAATTTCAAATGTATTAAATTTAGATTGCAATTATTCTCTGACAACTAATTGTTTTGCTCACAAAGTCGTCAATATATTTTTGCTAATAAAGTAACAATTGACTTCCGGATGGATTTTCTATGACGATTCACTTTAAATTGAATTCAATGATTCATTCAGTTCAACATTACCCCATCTTGAAAATTTCCGGCCGGCCTTTCCTTGAATATTGGTTCTAAATAAATTTTTTAAACAACGGATGACATGATCGATCTCATGAGCTAACTCGGTCAAGACGGCATTGTGAAGAATATTTGAAATCGCAATTGGATTCATTTAAACAATTATTTTTTCAGTTATTGTCGAAGAACGTTCGGTCACATACATCTGGACATGTTCTAAAAATAGCACATTCGAATTCCTGAGGCCAAAATTGGTCATCAATTTCGGATTTGACGAATACAATGCTTCCATTCGGAAGCAACTAGAAAATTCCGATAAATACTTTCTTCAATTTTCAATTGATTGAAGGTTTCTCACAATTTGGCACTAAATATTCAAGTTTTCATTGGAAATTCAAATAAGTTGAGTAATTCTCGTCTCAACGCTCCCAAAAAACTTTGAATTTTATCAAAATGTCACTGACCCCCGATATTTCCTGATTTATTTGTCGTTAAATCGCACTCAACGTCACTCCCTGAATAAAATCAATACAAATCAGGCTGCGACGCGTTCACCAACAATTTCCCATCACGCCTTCGCCTCATTAAAAGCGTTTCTACAAATCATTAAACCACAACCCATGCGCTCGAATGCTACCCCCCCCCCCCCCC